ATCTGTGGAACATAAAGAATTCTTGAATGCTAGTTCTTAGGGATTGTGTTGTTTCCTTACTGTCTGGTGGTAACCTTTTAAAACTTTTGAAAAAGCATATTCCTGAACTAAGAAATACTTGTCTTAAAGTCACTGATGTTTAAACACTTTTTGTGACAGGGCTGTCCTAGCAAACAGGACATTTTTATGGCCTGGATGACTTCATATTTGGATTAAATTCTCTCATTGCACATCCTTTTGCTTCACAGGAGTAAACAAATAGCACAGCCAAGCTGCAAATGAACCTTTACGAAAAATCAGGGGTCAAGCTTCAAGCCAGAAGCTCAAGACATACGTAGGGAAGTTGCTCTTTGGTTCCCATCCAAGAGCTCACCAGCATGGAAGCTGGACAGGAAAACCCTGCGAAAACAAACCTCTTGCTGTATTATTCTTAACCACCTCCTTGGTCTAAGGCAGGAGAACATAACAGTCCATAGCCCAGCTTAGGGAATAGGAGTATTTCGACCTTCTCCGCACTCCTTTATAGTTTGCCTCAGCATTTGTGTTAAAGTAGTGCTTCATTTTTTCATAGAATCATGGAATATTTCCAGTTGGAAGGGACCCATAAGGGCCATTTTAACGTCGCATTTTAAGCTGGTGCAGGTTCTGTTCTTTGAATTAGCTTCCAGAGTACTGGACAGATAAAACTGTCCTTCTCAGATAAAGCTCTCTTCCTGTGAGTCAATAAATAACATAGAATAAACAGAAGTACCTACTTAGGCTACTGACAATTTAAGAAAGTTACGAACTAAAATAACAAAACAAAACAGGGAATAAACAAAAGTTATGTCAATTATTTAAATTATCCTGTAGGTATCCCAAATTAAATTTTATCAATAGAATCATAATGTAAAAATCTCTTATTTTACCTATGGTCCAAAGAGGAGATTTTTTTTTCCAAGGAAAAAATTGATGCTTGCCCCAAACCACGTTCAAGGTAGAATGGAATACTTGACATCTTTAGCTTGAAGATGTCCATATGTCTGTCTTGCCATCAGGCAGGAAACACCTGACATCCATCAGGACTCAGGTCAGTGACACTGCCAAGGGCTTGCATTTGGATCCAGCACAAGTAATGAGCTGGTAGGTTCTTAGAGTGATGTTCGTTATGGCTTCCAGACACCTGTTTGACATCAACTGCCATCATCTTTGAGAAATCTTAAGTGTCTTGGAGAATTCTAGCTCAAAAACAAGCAAATTAAATTCAATACAAACCAAGAATTTTATAACGTTCTGTTTTAAGGGTGGGCATTTTTTTTCAGCTTCCTCGCTTTCCAAACTGGAACATTCTTAGATGATTATTGGTGATGAAGGCAACGCTTCATGTTCTGCTAGATACATAAGTATGAATCTTGAATATCAAAGAATGTTGAAGGGAGTGGAACAAACCAGCCTGAAAAGAATTAGTGGGGAAGTAATTATTATTTATCATCATAGAAAATATATGGCTGGGAAACTACCTCATGTGAGTTGATCTCCACATCTTTGTAGCTTTCCATTTATAGTAGTTCTTCCAGTGGGCTGTGAGGTTTTATTTCCTTTTTTGTTTTTCCCCTATTACATATGTCCTTAAATAGATGATTTTTTTTTGGTGGAGGAAGAATATTACCTCATGTAAAGGAGTGAATGAAAGCTTTCTACAAATTGTCATTTGTTCAGGACCTTTTCAGTAACTGAGAAGGACTTTCTGCAAAGAGTCAAACTACTCTGAAATCCCGCTTCAGAGCTTCAGCAGTTGAGCTGAGTGCTGCCCCAGCTGCTGCTTTATCTCCCAGATGAGCAGCACGGGCTTAGGGAGCAGCCGTGTGCAGGACGTAAGCCAGCAGAAGCAGCTCTCCGGAGTTGGATGGGGACTTCGAGCAGTTCCGGCAGCAACATCTTCTGCTGGACTAGAACAGCACGAAGAAACAACTGTGCCAAGGTGGTTTCCTCTATGCAAAATGCTCAGTGTTACGGGGGCCTGTAGGGTGGGTTTGCATTTGCGTGCCATGTTCCTGTTCGCTGAGGACAGTTCCAAAACAGGTTTGGGAAAAGGAAACTAGATGCATCTTCCACTCTCTACATCCTCGCTTTTGCACCTGTGACCTGCTGTCCCTGGAATCATGTCCTTGTCCTTTTTGTTGTTGTTGGGTATTTTTCAATAGTAAATGTCACAATAAATGTTTTCTCTTTAATGCTCTTAAACCTGAGCTTTGTGGTGCAGTGCAGCCTGAGCTTACCTGTTGCCAGATGCACAGAGTTCATCATAGCTATAGCTGGAGATGCTGGTCTTTTTTCCAGTGGGCTGTACTAGAATTCAGATCTTGTCTTTTCGGAGGCAAGAAAGCTCATCTCTGGCAGCCCCGACAGGCCCCACGCTGTCCCGGCCGGGGCAGGACAGGCTCTGTTACCCTGCAAGCATGCTGTGACCCGGTGCAGTCTCACACCGAGCGTGCAAACCAGCGCTCCCGCAGGGTCTGTGACCGGTGACGCGATGCTCCCAGCCCTGGGGCGGTCGCCGGCTTCCCCACGCTGCAGCAACCCCCAGGGGCTTTCCCTGCCCAGCTTTGGCCTGCTGCTGCCTTACGCAGCCAACAGCTTGCTCGCTCAGCCCCGGCGCTGTTGAACGACAAGTTTAACAAGATCTATCTTCCCTGTGTAAATCCATTGCCTTTAAGCCAGCTACTGGGAAGATTATGGTTTACTTATTGGAAAACCACAGGGTCCGCACTTACACGGACCTTGCTTAGGACGTGAACATAACGTTTACCTTATAAAAGAAATTACTCTCTGGGGGAAAAAAGTGATGTGTAAAACTATTTATTGCTACCTTCTCATTTGTTCAGTATCTCTTGCAGCTTGAATTGGAAGTCATGGTCCAGCTTTCCAAGTCCACAAAATTACCTTAAGCTTGTGAATTACCCAGCTTTGTTTGGTTTTCTCTTTTTTTTTTCCCTCCAAGTTTATAAGATGATTTATTCAAAATGTGTTAAGTAACTGTAAAGAACCTTTCTTAAATGCGTTTTCGGTAGTTTATGCTGAAAAAAAAACCAGCTTTGATCCTCAAACCAAAAATGGAGTATCTTCATTTCACTACGGCATCACTCAGGAGTATGAAACATGCCAGTAACAGAGAGGGTTTGGACTCTGTACTAATCTTTGTCTGTCAAGAAGAGGCTTTAATTAAGAAAACCCAACGAGATAAGTGTGGTTTTTTTCCTGTTAAGATGCTGGAACTCTAGCGCTTTACAGGTTAATATACAGCCTCTTGCTTCAAGAATGAAGGTGAAAGCTGCCCACTAATAACTTTCTGTCCAAACAGAGTACAAATTAAATGTTGTTAAAATTAACTGTAATAATGACATCAGTCAATCATGAAGAATAGCATTTATTAATACATGACCTGGAAAATTTATCATGTGCCACCTGCCACCATTTAAAACACTTCAGATATGTTACCCAGCTTTAGTAATGTCACAGGATGTTTAGAGTTACTCTCTCAACCAACATAGAAACATTTATACATTTTATTAGAGCAGTAAAGTATCCTCATCCTTGAACTTGCTCTCAGTAACACGAGGTACATAAAATCGCACAATCCACAGCCCTACCTCTTCCCACCCCTTCCCACTCTAAAATCAGAGTTTACAGGGAGCTCTGTTTCCCGATGGCGAAGGTCTCAGTCCGACTGCTGAGCACATGCATCTACTTTTGCAGATCCTGCTCTTCCATGGGAGCCCAGTGCTTTAGCGTGTTGTGAGGAAACCTGCCCCAAATGTAGCTGGTGCGGTCCTGCCGTAGTGCTCAAGGGTGTGAGGGCCAAGGGTGCCTTGGTTTTAACAGTAATACTGTGAGAACTCTTTTGAAAAGGCGGATCTCCTCATTTTGGAGAACGTGGTAAGAAGTGAAGGCAGGCTCTGGGATGACTTCTGTAACTTCTGATTGGAAAGGCAGTACTTCCAAAAGCAAAATCTCCCATTAACGGTTATCGAGACTATCCTTTTCCCTTTTTTAATATACCTACTACAAATTGATTAGAATCTCCAAAGTAAAAATTTAAGTGAAGTCTTTATGTTCTTCAGCGCAGTGGCACAAACAGGCTAAAAGCTGACAGGGAGAACTGCCAGTCGCTGGAGATGGGTCTGAACACGTTGTCACCCTCCGGAAGGGCTGCACTTGGGCAGCTGGGTATCAGTTCAAAAACTCTGCTTAAATACAGTTTTTAACTCCATCGGCCAAGTTTCATTAATTCATATACATTGTAGTCTCTGCTGTTCCCAAACCAGTATGTTCAGCGAATGAGAGTTGAAGTTGAAAAACAAGAATTCATGGTTGAGTTTTTGCTCTCACCCTAATAAATAGTGGGTATATTGCAAAAAGTGACCACAGCTATCCTGTCTCAGCTGTGTAAGTTGTACTATTTCAGTGTTGCATGTAAGCACCTACAGCCCCAACTGGATTTGTGACTTACTAACAGATGTAAAACCTCATTTTGGACTGGGCCTTGACTCAGATTTTCTTCATCCTACAGTGCAGATAGCTAATGTCTAACGAACTGAGTTACTTACAAGAAGAAAGCAAACGCGCAGCAGATGTGGAGAGAGGAGTTGATACATTGGTGCAAAGTTGCTCTTGTATAACTGAAGAAAATTACTTTGTGTAACCAGAAAGTACTGAAGTGATATGATAGTGTATCAACATCTAAATACAAAATATCTTGTTCATTTAGTTAAAAAACTCCAGAGAAAACGTGGTATCGGCAGAACTTGTCTTAAATGACCAATAAAAATATGCTGCTTAAATTAAGTATCTTATCAGAATTCTTTCTAAGAGAAAATAAGCATGACTATACTAATTATGCTTAGGGATAAATACTAGGCTTAAAAGAGAGCAAGCTTCCCCAACCTTTGTTCTGTTGTTTAAGCTTAATTACATCAGGGGTTTTTTTGATGGTAATTATGTTCTGTGCTGATGGGTGTCTTCTAATCAGTCTTTTTAGTTTTCCTGTAGTGCAGGATTGTGGCTGTGACCCAAATATTGAGAATGAGCATGGTTATGAAACGGATGAGAACTAAAAGGGGGAGAAAAGAAAATCTTTTAAGCGTAAATCCAGAAGACACTTTGTTTTGTAAACCTTCACTGGTGTCCAAACAGCCTGGCTCCCCTTACGTAACTGTTTTTAGTCAATTAGTTTAAATTACCAAGTCCAGGAACCCAGAAATTCTTAAAGTAAATCTAGCAGAGAAGAGCATTTAGCACTTGTGAGTGATACCTGAAAATACCACACTACAGCACTTTTAATTCCCTTGTGACAAAACCAGGAGAATAGTACAAGTTTGAGTAGCCTCATATAAATTTTTATTTACACCTAAAATTAAACTCGGGAGCTGCAGCTCATGTGTCCTGTATAGCTGCATGTGGTGTTGATAATAAAGGGATTATTCTCTACTGCCATCTGTTAGGTTTACACTCAGGGAGACATGAAATACTTGTATCTGTCAGATATTAGTGACAGAAAATCTGACAGCTGAGAAAAAAATCAGTTTTTCAGTTTCTTGACTAACTTTCGGGTTTCTTTTAAACCAAAGGGAGCGTGGTACCTCTGCCTGTGAGACCACAACTTGAAGTACAAGTGTATTTAACAGCTGTTGGTAAGTGGAATATTCACAGAAATGTACATAAAACTGTTTCCAAACTATGTGATATTTGCCAGTTTCGTACACAGATACGAAACCAAGATGAACACACCAAAGTGTTCAGTGTTGGAAGTTAACAGGAAACGTTCTCTGTTAGAGCAGCACACTTTGCTGCTGTCCCTTCCAGGCTCTGCTCTATTTTAAAAAGCAGCTTTAACCAGAGCCAGCTTTACTTTCAGGAGCCAGCTTTTTAGTTCACAGTGGTTTTCTCCCATTTTTCTTTCCTCCCCTCGATACACCTCTCTCGCTTCTGATCAGCCTAAGTGTGTAGCTGTGGGAGAGCTGGACTTGATCACTGACCCAGACTAAAATTCTGCGTGTGTGTTATTTTTTGGTGATGCAGTTAACTGCGTGGCCCCAAAACTCTTACTCTGGCAAAGAGAAAGCAGCAAGCGTGGGGCTGAAAATGAGTGAGTGAGCCTTTTCCAGTGAAAGAGCCACTTCAACTGCTTCTAAAAGTACAGCCTTATTGTGCTGCAGAGGACTGCTTAAAAAAAAATAATTAAAAAAAATCATTCATATGATGTGTCTGATGAAATACCAGTTTTGAACTAGAACAGGAATACACCAAATGAAATACAATGTGGTTTTGTTCCTATTCTGACATCCACCAAGTCTTGATTTTTGAAAATTCTGCTCTTTCAGTTTTATCAGGATGGCAAGAAGCTGCTAAATAAATTTGCTTTATAATGAAATCAGCTGCAAATTATACATTTTAAGCCAGTTTTTTTGTGAGTTTCTTACTAGCCTACTATTTAATTTTCAGCTTCCCATAAACTGTTTGAGTGTTGTGCCAAAAACTATTCTTATACTAAGCTGAACTTTAAGTAGTTTTCTAGAATTTTTTAATGCACAAACCCCACAATAACAAAAGGAAACACTTATTTGAAAAGTTGTCACTCAATTATAGATCTTTTAAGGTGTACTTTACTGAATTTTTTTATTTATATACTGAAATGTTGAAGATTTTTAATGCTTTAATCTGCTATTTCCTTAATTAGGATAATTTTGTAATGCTTTTGCCTTTTGAAAAAAAAAGGCTGTTTGACTACTTGTCATCGTGTGATAATAAGCATGAGCAGGCGGGGTTTTGTTTGTTTTCTCCAGGTATTTGACTGATTGGTAAACCTGTGCTACTTTTTTAGCAGTAACTCCTTCCCTCACTGTGCCAACGTATGAGGCTTGTGGTTTGTTCTTCAGAGACCAGATAACTACTTTTAAAGAACAGCTCAAAACTACCATGGCAGCTGCTACCTTGGAACGGCGTGCAGTTCCCAACTTTACTCACCTGCAAGATCATTTGTAGTCATTACAGTCGTAACTATTCTTGCTGCAAATGGAATGAATTCTTATTAGTGGACTAGATACAAAGTGTTCATACCATCAAAAAATTATGAAATACCTATTTTTCAAAAGAGGAGAATCTTACCCACACATTCCCACTTCTGAGTGCATCCACTCTTCACTATTTTAGTTCCCAAGAGCTAAAGGTCTCAAGGGAGATCAAGCTCTCAAGCCGAGTGACACTGTATTAAGGGTCTCTTCCAATCAGAAAATCACTGATTAGATTTTTTTACACTTGTATCTCTCTCTCTCTCTAGGTTAGTGAGTTTACTGCCTCTCTTTCTGTTCTCCCCCAGTAGCTGATACTGAGCTATACCCACAACCCAGTTCTCACGACTTAACCACCCTGAATGTTCACTTGCCCACTTTTAGGCTTCTGCCTAAAATAAGAGGAATTCAGCTTTCCTCCCTACAACAAATCTACACGTTAATTAATTCACATTTGCAGCAGATGACAACCATTTACAAAGTTTATTGGCGTTGCTCAGCCAACATACCACAGCTTCTAATTACCCACTTCAATGCATTTGTTTCACGGGGAAATAGATCCAGCATCGCTATGCTTTGTAGTAAGACTATTTTAAACAAGTTTCATGAATACGACAAAGGCATTTTTGACAACTGGCTGTACAACTGTTCACTAGGGAATTGCCACATTAACTGGACAAATCCCTGTTCTCGGTACATTCCTAAATTCTTTGCTGAGCAATGTAGTTACACATTGTCATAGTTAAAGGTATTGAGCATTAAGTGTGTATTTATTGGTAGATGCTGGTGAGGCCTTGGTACAGCCTGCCCAGGGAAGCGGTGGAGTTGCCATCCCTTCAGGTGTTACAAAAACATGCAGACGTGGCACTTCAGGATACAGGTTAGTAGTCATAGTAGTATTGGGTTATTGGTTGGACTTGATGATCTTAGAAGTCTTTTGCAACCTTAAGAATTCTATGACTTTTCAGAATTAGTGTTGTCTGATTGCCTGACTCAAAATTTAGCACCTTTTCATGCTAGAACATTGAAATCAGTTATTTCAACTGCATCAGTTTGCCTGTTTTCTAAGTCAAAGTGTCACTGGTGTGTCAGAGGTAAAACTTGATTTCAAGAGACTGCCTGGTATCTGAGTCTCAAAGGTTGGCACTAAAGGTAACTAAGTTAGGCAAGATTTTTACCTGCTGCGACTTAGAGTAGACCTCGCAAAAGAGGCATTAGCAGGAGAGAGGTTTTAAAAAAGGAGAAGTTGATGCTTTCACCCCAAGTTGCCCACAGCTTACTTGTGCAGGTATATGCAGCCATACTCCAGGTCAAAGCGCTCACTTGTCCAGAATCTTTTGTCTGCCAGAGATACCGCAGCTGAGCCAGCTTACTGGCTGCACTGATGAATGTGCACAAATTCTGAAAAGCAGGTGAAAAAAGGAGAAGGAGAAAGAACCTCCAGTCTGCGATTGTATTACCAAAGTGTTTAGCTTATGGCTGTTAGTATATAACTTATTAAAAAACAGGGTTAGTTTTTTTCATTTAGATGTTTTTTTCAAATAAATAGATGCTTTTCCAGTGTTTGGTAAACGCCAGCGTTTCAGCTTCTTACTAAGGAACCGTGAAGCAAAAAATTTGAAGTTGCCAGAAGCAAGGGACTGGGTTCTGAGGTGCTCAAAGAAAAAAAGAAGCTCAAAGAGTGTAGCAATTGCTCCTGCTATCATCAAATGCTTGGTAGAGGCAAATATAAGAATGAAAGAAAGAAAAATGCCTCTCAACCTGCTACACTAAACTGTTTATGAAAGTTAGCTAAAATGAGACTGATCTAGTCTAAACAGTGAGGCTGATTCAGACCATCTGTTACCATTATGTCTGGCAAACGAAACCATAAAAGAATGAGAAAACTGACAAGAATGTGTGGAAAATGAGCCCAATTGGTGGGAAAAAATAATGAAAGGAATGGAGTATTTGCTCTGTCATGCTTTAAAGGGGGATTCTGCAAAGGCAGCGGGTAGAGGAGACCTCCACCGTTGGTCTTTGTGCCTTGTTGATTTCCCTTCCAAGTAAGAGAGGTGTTAGGCTTAGAAGTTTTTACACCCATTTGTCTCATCTTTTGCATTAGGAATTAATCTGAAAGCTTAACTTTCTCTCTTCTGTAGCTTTAACCTACATAGGGCATTACCAGATTATATTTTGCTTGCAAAATTCTAGGACTAAAAGGAAAAAAGATCTTGTGAAATATTTAACATTCCCTATTGTAAATGCTTTCGCTGATGCTCTGTGTTTTTTCTCTCATGTTAAAAGTTTATTAATGGAGATTATGATATTAGGATAATTATTTTTCAATATCTTAAACCTTTGCTAGTTTTAATTAAGGCACCACAATTAACAACTTTATCTCAGAACATACTTTTTTTTTCCCCTCCCCACAGAGTCTCTGTTCCCACTGCTATGTTTTCAAGCCATGCATGGAAGTGAGAACGAGCTGTATCTGAAAACCAGTTGGTTGTTCTGAAAGCTAACCTAAATGATGAATTCTTCCAAGGACAAATATAAGGAGAGATTTCACTGATAAAGGCTTCCAGAAAAAAAGTTGTTCTCTATGAGGACCTAATTTCAAATAATCATGCAGCACTTACCATGGCCAGGTCTATTATCCACTTCTGCAGCGTTAGCAGGTACCAGCCCCCCCAGAATCTTACATTATGTTAAGCTCCATGCACTGAAAATTCTAGGATGCCAAAGGTCTTGAAACTGCCTAGGGAATTAGATTTTTTTAAACATCTGGAAATAATCTCATTGAAAATTTTTATAACAGACTCTACAATCTAGATAAAACACATTGAGCACTGGTTGAAACATAAAGTATTTGTATTTTGCACACTGTCTTTGGCTGAACAGTGCCTGGAGTTTCTTAAGACCTGCTCCAAAGCATAAGACTTGAGATTTAAGCCCAAGTCCTATTTAAAAAAAAAACACACACAAAAAACCAAAAAACCACCAACAAACACTGTTGTGTTCGTTATAGCAAGTACAATCTGCATGAGTAGGAATCAGATTCCTAGGAATGAGAGAAAAATGCATCACTTCCACCCTGCATCTCTAGCAAAGAGGTAAATTAAGAATTGATCTCACTACTTATCAGTTGTGGGCCTTCTAAAGCGCAGCTACATAGAAGACTTACTTCTTGGAGAGATCTTGCTATGATCTCAGAAATCAGCATCTGAATGTGGAATGTGTGTTGAGGGGTGGCTGAAAATGATTTACAGTGGTAGCACAAAACAAAAGATGACAGAGCTGCTATGCAAAGAACTACCAAACAAGCTACATAAACCAAAATTCCCAGATTTCAAAGGATACGTGACTGCATAGAACAAAGCTCGTTTCATTTCTCCTCTGAAATGCAGAATAAACAAAAGGAGAATGACATCTGAAATAAATAAAAGATCGGTCATCAGAGAAGGCAGAGAAGGGGGCCAAATGCAATCCTAAACAGCCCCACTGGGCACCATGTCTGCAGAAACTGGTTTCTTACAGGTTTTGTCACTCAAATTTGATTGATGTCCAAAACCCTGCAAGCTCCAAAATGAAGGTTTTTTTAGAGTCTGGTGTGTTTATAATGTTTCTTTCTCACATGGAGTCACCAGATAAAGGATGAGCTCACAATGCAACTCCACCCCATATGTATTAATTAGATCTTTCTCTTCTACCTGATCATCTACTTTCACAACATTTATAAGAATTCAGTTACATTTAAGATGTTCATTCCCTTTTCCTCCTGACTCCACAGAGAACTAGTCAACAGTCCCATCACTGCAGTGGAGTACTATACCTATGTGCAGAGCCCTGGAGTGCTAAATGAGCCCTGTTTTGTTTCCAAAACACAGCTTAAAAAAAATTACCTTGTGCAATGATGATGGGATATTCCAGGTATGACTGCAGAGGGTAACTGTAATAGATCTGGTACCTCAGAAACACAAGGAAGCTGAATGAAAAGACACAAAACAGCGTGACTGCAGGAAGGGACAGGACAGCTCCTGCACAACTTGTTACTGTTCTGGCTGTGCCAAGAGGCTCCAGACAGGTGTAGCTGTCAAACTGATCAAGCAAATATGAAGACAAGTGCAACCCTGATGATTCTGTAGTCTATTCTTGTTACCCTCGAATAGAGTAAAATGTAGAGAGCTGCCCACACTTCTTGTTAAGGTGTTACAGTGTGTAATTTTATTAATTACAAGTGATGAGAAAGAAATAAAAGCTTCCAGACCTGTCCAATCTATGTATTAAGCAAGTTTTACTGGAGTCGAAAGCATCCTCCAAGCTGTCTAGACTGCACTGTTACATAAGATTTCCCAGTGTAGCTGTACTGGTCAGACTGAAAGTCTGTTCTTAAAGACACCAAATGATGGCAATTCTCCTTCCTGCCATTCTCAATACAGTATCTAAAAGGAATTGAACTTTCTCTTCAACTTTCATGGAAGTCCATTGTGTTAGACAGAAACTCCTGGGCTGCAGAGAAAATAGAAAGGACTCCTGGGGCACAGTTTTATGTAAGGAAATAGTGGCCGTTTCCCACGTAGAAAGATGGCATAAGCAACCGCCTGCCTTGTAAGAAAAAGGCTTTTATGGTATTCAGAATTTAAATATCTGAACGTTCTAGAAGTCTTATTTCTTGTAGTGTCATATTAGACTCCCTGCCATCAGCACCATGCTTCTCTGTCACTCCTCTGCCACATCGCCACATGCTGCCTCTGCAGAACCATCCCAGTTTGCACCAGGAGCCCCAAAGCTCCCTGTGACTGGACTCAAAGTATTTAAAGGCTGCAGAATAAACAGTCTACTAAACAAACAGTCTCAAGAAACATTTCAAAAAAAAGCCTTGTTGCAGCTCTGTCAAAATGGCTTTGCCCAGAGCAGGCACAGAACTTGCAGCAGTGTGGGGACTGTGGTTAACATGCAGTTGCTGAGGAGATATTTGTGGCTTCTCCATGCTCACCTGAAATATTAGCTGTAAAGTCATTTCACTGCACACCAACACACATGAAGTGACTTTAAAATACTTCAACTGCTTTTCAGCTGGACTGTGGGGTAAGTTCTGTCTGCTGAAAGTAGAATTTGGTTCACTTCTCTGAGGTGTATTAAGGTAAACAGCAACAACCAGGGTTCAGTGCCATGGAGAAAGGTAGGCAGTTTTGTGAGGTGATTTTTCTGATGAAAAAGCCCCTTTTTAGCTCGGTGTGGAAAGCTAGCAGCCATCCAGCCAGACGTTCTGGCCACCTCCATCACTGGGTTAAGCGAAGACGAGTCTCTTCAAGGTATTTTCTCTCACATCTATGTGCCTACAGTTAATTTATTTTTCATTCCATGCAATCCTCTTTAAGATTTAACAAGTCTAGCCCATGTAAGCTTATTACAGACTGACAAATCTTTGGAGTTTTGACATGGTTTGTAATTTTCTGACAGAATGATTAGGTTTTGCTCATCTGGGTGAGCGAAGCCTGTCCAACTGGTACCATTACCTGCAGGACGGGGCACACGGACCATTTAATAACCTAAATAAACACATGGCTTAAACCCCGCAGGAGGCGTTGCCTCCATGGGTGGCCCGGGTTGGTTTTGGGCAAGCTAAAAAAGACGAGTTTCCCTTTAACGAACAGCGCAATAAAGCTTTAAACCGGGACGTTTCCCAGCCAAGGGGGCACCTGTGCCCGGCGCGGTCACCTGCCTCAGCGGAGGCTCACCGGGAGGAATTAAAAAGAGCCGCGAAGAGAGTGCTCTTGGGCTCTAAGACTCCACAGCCGCTCAACACATCGACCTGCCCGCTCAGAGCTGCGGAGGAACGAACTTCACCGTCAGTCACCGC